TACAGTCAAAATAGAAAGAACGGATTTAAACGGCGAAATTGTACAAAATCAAAAGAGCACGAACAATTTGCACGAAGAATGTGATAATATGGAGCGAGCTGCCCTGGTTGAAACGTGCTGAATTCTTTTTTGAAAAAAAAAACTAACAAAACCAGTCTGCAGTTCAAACAGACCATCCTTTGAATCACCATTGTTCTCTATGAACACCATAATTAAATTGCACGAAAAAGTGCAAGGACACTCGTACAATATCACAGATCAAATTATCTAGTATTTACTCTGTTGAGCAAGCATCTTTGTTGCATTCTTGCTGTGTCGTTGGTGTTTCCGTTGTATTACAATACTGATTTCCGACATAACTATTATCATCGGTACGATAGCACTTAATTGTACGGGTCTGTGTACCTATAGCAACACAATAGAATAGGAATTAAGATATAATTGAATGAAAATCAAAATATAATTGAATGAAATCGAGTACGATATATATTGTTATCTAAGAAATGAAGAGTTCAAAAACAGTTGTCTCAGTTACTGGAGAAAGAGAAAGTCATACATTCTCTTTATCAACCATATGTATATTATGCCAACATTACATTGGAGCGTAGACGGATTCATTAAGTCGTTCCTAGTACACTCTCTTTCGTAAATTTTGTGCAACAAACCAGAAAATCTAAGAGCAAATACTAAGACTATCCTTATGGTAACATGACGACGCCATAGAGCATTTAGTTGTCCTTTTATACCTACCAACTGCGCATGATCGAGAACAGGTTGTCCATGCTGAATACCACCATTCATAGCCTGGCGCCGGTTGCGTGTCATTTGGGGATACTATAAGGTATCTATAGTCGACTGCTTCTGTGGCGCCGGAATACCAAATGTACTAGATCGAGAATAGAGATAGTGCAGAAACAGTTGTATAAAATGCTCCGTTTAATAGTTTCTTATGCATTACCATCAACAAAGCAAGATAGTGGTCCTGCCAGTCAGCGTAATAGGCCTTTTGCATGAAACGTTCACATTGTACAAGATCCGCCATACTAGATGGCAACTCACTGGGATTTTCAAAACAAAGAAAAGTCAAGCTTGACGGGCTGCATTCTTTTTGATTTTGAGSTTGTTTACCTTCTTTTGCCATAGAGCCAGTATGGCGGATTTCGTACCATGTGGCTGTTTCATGCAAAAGGCCTATTGTCCTGGGGTAAATCCTGGGGTAATTTTCAATTGCATAACACTCAAGGAAATTCATACATTCTCACAAAGGAGTAAAATGTATCCATTCTATTTGGCACACAACAGCTTTTGTCGAGCCATTGCAAACTACCTGTTAAAAGAGGGCGTGTACTATTAATGATACCGTCAAAATGCTCAAAACTCAATTGATCCTCAAGAGTGTTAATGGGWCTTACAACGTGCCCGGTTCATACGTCGTGCCGAGCTAAATTGTCAATTTGTGTTGACCCAAATACATTTGGTACGACCTTGATTCGAGTCGATCCAAATAGAGTCCAAATCATAAGAAAAAATAACGTTCCATTGCAACCATAACAATCGTCGGAAAAAAATATATAATTTGTGCCTGCATTGACATCGACATGAATCAGCGTTGAGCTCGAGATCTTGCCACGCTTCACGACTTGCGTTGCCATGACACTGCCTCACGGAACATAACTTATTCATTTGTCGAACTGTTGTTCATGTGCAAAATTCAAAGTATTTGGTTCGACGCGACGATATCACGACGTACAAACCGTGTTACATCAGTTAGCTTACTTTAACGAAAAGTTTCTGATTGGTTGATGGTCCTGTAATATCCAATGCTTCAGCATATGCACCGCCGGAATTACGAGTGTACGATATCTTTGTTCCAGCCTTGAAGACCGTTTTTGAATAGGATGGCAATTTGATCAAGTAATTTCCCTGTTCATCAGTTATTCCTGAATTCGCAAAAAACAAACAAACATTAGGGATCTGGTATTTTTTAGGATGTTTAAAACATTTCTGGATATCTTTTAGGGTGGGGGGTGGGTGCGCATCTTTTGAGGGAAGAAGAATATCTTAAATGGATTAATAATAAAAACAACGAAAAATGATTTTATTATTCATTCTTAAAATCAGGATGTGGTAGGGCTACAAATCTTATAACGAGCTGCCACGCCCACCTTCATATAAAAATATCATGAATTTTTGACAAAGTCCGAAAATCACTTCGCTCGCTATGAGATTGATCCTGCCCCCCCCCCCCATCCCCCCCCGTACTTTACCTAGCTCACTCCATGTCGCTGCTCTTTGCTTGAAGTGTGCATTTGCAGTTCCTACAGGTAGTTCGGCAATAGTATCTGCTTCGCTTTCGCCTAAAGAAACAAAAATGAAAATATATAGATAATTTGCGTTGGTATACGGCAAGAACATTGTCTAAAAAATACAACATTTCACTTAAAAAACGATTAGTACTATTCGTCAATCTCTCTATCTCTTCCATTCTTTAATTCTTCCATCAATCTCTATTCCTTTTTTACAAACCTACCTACCTATCTTGTCCTATATCTAGAATGAGGGGGAGGGGCTGTTCCAAAAAGAGCTTTTAAATTCTCACCATATCTTGCCCAGCCACTGTTGCTTTTGACGAATTCACTACTTATAGGTTTACATGTGGAGCCGTCCCCTGCACACTGACCACATCGGTCAAGCTTTGCATTAGAGRCCAGTATATTATCGCATCCAACAGTCTAAGATCATAAATTATGTTAACTGAGATCAGGTTTGTCTGCATTTCTTTTTGCAGCATAGATTTGATTGGGAAACAGAGGGGTTATAAGAAATTGCAGCTGTTCGTGAACATGGACAGTAATTGTAGTATTTCATTATGACCTCACGGTATGTTGACATCGGGAAAAGACGCCCKAAAACAGTGTGAATTTTGCCATTTACACTCGATCCGAAAATAGAATTTCAATGTATCATGTCATGTATCAAAGATTGTTCATGTACATTTTAGTGTGATATACAGTTACTCTGATCCTCTCGGACGACCATAATTCTCAGTGTTAAAACAATAGAATGTTTTGATGTGACGTCATAATGAAATAGGGCAATTCAGTAGTTCATATTGATTAGTGATATAAAAAGTTCTTACCCTGCACACTCCCTCAATACAAACGTCATTTCTATATGGGTCGTTATAACATCTTGTCCCATCATTGACTGATCCGAAAGTGTAGAGCCGGTRTGCAGTTTTACATTTAAGTTCGCATGGCGGCGCATCTTTAAGAACAGAAAAGCTGACTTTAGATATTTTGGTTTAATGACCATGGACAAAAGAATTGTATAGAACTGATGAGACTCCGCGGAAATAAAAGAATACATTTAAGATTATTAAATTTAAATTTTGATAGTTYCATATACTTGTGGATTTTGTTAGATATAAGTTCTACACTTATTAACACTATCTCGCGCCCGCAATTCTTTTGTACATGGRTACTCAACCAAGATATCTAATGTTGACTATTTATTCAATAGTTTTTGATGTCATTAGTTTAAAGTTATTATCTTTATCCGTTGAATACTCTGGGACCAATTAAGTTAAGTAAAATCATTTTTCTTCTATTTTTTGTCTTGCACTCTATTATCAGCATTATCAAGATTGTCAAAGGTCTTATTATAAGAAAGATCTGTGTATAAATCCRGCAAATATCATTCCCCAACAGTTGCCCTTGCGGTAAAAAATCGACACAAAAAATTAAATACGGCCGAACTAACCTGCGGAATAATGTGGCGTAACATCCGATCGTTTGGCTGAGCACTGCAAGTCACGGTACGGTGTGGAGTTCTCCGGACATTTCTGATAATAATCAATGATAATGTCATGATGACTAATAATGTCATCTTGACTAATAACCAATCCTTTGCATCAAAGCGAGTCAACTATGCATTTGATAACATGAATAATTGTCCTATTCTTGGTGTGCAACCACATGACCAGGAATCCCCTGAGAAATAAAGAACAAAGRTATCGCCGRCWTGWTGGATGAATMAACAAGAGAAACTAATGAGGAATGCTTTGTGATTTTCATCGAACATGGCGGCGATGACGTAACTTGCACACCAAGAATCTATGAAATAAGGTACATATCAATAATTCAAGGCCAACCGCTATCTCGGTCTGATAAAAACTCTGTACTCACTTTTCAACATTGCGCGTAAATGTTCTTAAAGGTAACAGGGTAAGCATTTTTTTCTATAATTTTTCATTCTACTATTGTTAACCATGATTTACCTCTGTGTTGCATATTCTCCATAGTCCTTTTTGGTCGGCATTGCTCGCATCAACTTGACCTTSACAGAGATTTCCTCCATTCTTAGGGCTAATGATATATTTTAGAAAATATCAATGCATTATGGAACCAGTCATTTAAAYCTACAACTCTGAATGTGCCATTTGCTCTCTTCCAATTTGATTGTTAAAGCAAAAAGACAAGGAAASAAAAGCAAACGAAGAAAATAGTCGAGTGCTATTGTTTTATTGAAAACGATAACATAGCCAACGAAGGATCTCGGGGGGTTACTCCCCCCAAACTTTGTTGGGGGGTGTGCCGCTGGTCCTCAACACCCTGACCCTGTCCCAGGGTAAAATCGCTGAAAACAATACCCTGTTCCAGAGTAAAAAACGAACGAAGGGTTAACGTCCGAAATGTCAGTGACTTGTTTCACCTACTTTTCTCATATCAATTTTGTGCACGGAAAGAAGCACGATGATCCAACGAAAATGAAGRAAAACTAAAAAAATTAAACAACCGAGAGCACGTGAAACTTACGCGGGATTATTACAGGTTCTTGTCCTGTACTGAACACCTCCACCGCAGGTTTGGCTACACTCGGAGAAATCGTCAGACCARGCAGACCAGCCTCCATGGATTCTTGGAGAACCATTATCAACACAAATACCCTTGATACACCACTGAAAGAAGGGATATGATTCAATGTGGTTTAGAAATACTGCAAAGTGAATGTTGTTTATGATCATGAAATTATGGTCTTAAAGTATCTTACCTCTCTGACTCCACAAGCTGTTCCGTCCATTGGAGGAGCCAAGTATGAAGAGCAGGTAGCGCTATTGCTAGTACAGTAAAGATTGTTGCAATCACTCTGCAAGATGTCAATATTTATTGTCGATTACTGTAGTTGTTTTCTGATGATGCCTCTCATTTTATAATTAACTTATTGACAGCATTTAACCTACACCTATGTCTTTGATTTTTGGATCACTTAGAAATTTTAAAGGATGTCATTTTCATCTTTATCGGTGTTGTCATGATTTCAAATATTTCACAGTTTAGTGAAAACTGGTTCAAATCGATCATCGCATCATTCACTGATAACATTAGGAGCACAATATTACGATCATTGCCATCACAATCAGAACATCAAAWGTACAGTCTACTTACGAATTTTTGCGAACAACGTCTGTAGGAGCTCCCCATTTGAAATTGACACTGTTTGTCACCATCCATTACTTGGCCTGGTAGTAAGGACTTCGTGTCGGCAGGTAGAACTGGACGCTCATCATTAGTGGGTGCATTTAACAAACAAGAAGACTGATCYCCACTAGTAAAATAGTTTGATATACATTAACGATTGAACAGGTGTAAACTAGTTGATGCAGACGAATAGAGCTGAGAGGCCGAACGACAGGGTCAAATTTCATGTMATTTTTAAAACACATTATATCCTAAACCAATRCCACACAATCTGATGTTGGTTGGTATGCAATTTTGTTTTTTTCTTTTCTTTTCTTTCAAACACAAAGATACCATTTATTTTAACACGACATTGAGCTTAATATTTCATGACATAAATTTTCGATGATATTATATATATTTATACTTTAAGTTGTGTGTTCCACTCTCCCTCTCTACCCATTTATCTAAACAACTATCCAATCCCCCCCCCCCCCCCCCCCCCCCCCCCCCCCCCACACACACACACAATGCCCTCCTTATTCCATTCCTCACCTTAAAAATGCCTGTATGACAACTTTGCTGCAGTTTGACCATGTAAAGCCAAGCGGGCCTCCACTTACGGTTGTACTCATCAAGCTTCCACCGACACAGCCACTCGTATCGTGTAAAACACCCATGCTGAAATAGATAATCAATAAATAAAGCAATAATAACATCGATCAAGTAATTCGTATGATAAGAGATGGCTCTGATTTTTTTCGAGGGAACATAAAATACACAAGTCCCAAAAACAAGGCGACTATATACGTCTTGAAGATTGTCAACTGTGAAACCGCTGACAAAAGCAACGCAGGCCGTAGTAATGCGAGCGAGAGCCAAATCTTTCCACCTCCTATTAAGTCATACACAGAAAGKTGAAGGCCCAAATTTTTTCATTCGATTTGTGATTTTAGGCACAACAATTCGATGGATCCCATAGATCTGCTGCTCCATTACTATTAGCACTGAGTGAATTTCTAGATTTCTGCTAGAAGAGTACTGCTRCCTGCATACTCACTTGTGTCCAATCTCATGAACCAGTTTAAAAGCAGTTTGCAAACCAAGATCAGAGGAAATAGATGGCGCCATTCGATTTTTACACATGTCACCCAACCAAGCCAATCCTGAAAGCATTGTGCATGTTCGATCAATATGTATAACACCCACTGAATCCTGTTCAGATATTCTAGTATATTGTAAGCCGAACGATACTAAAGACCTGCGCAAACGCTGTCAACATTTGCTGAAAGATGCAAGGTCTCAGAGGAGGGTGCGCACCCCCTGAACCCACCCTCCTGCAACCGCACACCCTGAACCCACCCTCCTGCAACCACACCCCCTGAACCCACCCTCCTGCAACCACACCCCCTGCACCCACCAGCTGTATGGATCCGTTCCTGGTATTCTACCAAATATATCTTCTTAGAAGAATCCTTGAAAGCCGATGAGCGCAAAGTTTTATGGAATTTGTTTGTTTTAGGAAACCTTTTCAAAGGTAGACAGCGTTACAAACGGAAATGCTTTTAGTCATTTATTGGAGATTCAACTGGATTTCTTATAATAACTTTGATGCATCACGTGACTCACCTATTCGACTTCCGCCGCTGTTTTTTTGAAAAAAAAAAGAAAAAAACATTAAAACTGATTAATAATAGTAATAAATTATTATTCATGTTTTTATTACCAAAATTTGTAAATAAGAGACCTTCTTGGAATAAAGTTATTATATTATTATTAATATTTTAATAATAATAATAATAATAATAATAATAATAAATAGCCTGTGATCAAGACTACCAGCCATGATGAACAGTGGTCGTTGCTTAAAACAAAAGAACAAAAATGATCMTGATTGTGATTACCTATGAACGAGCGATACGGCATCAAACGGAGATTCATTTGGATATGTTTGYTGAGCCCACGAATTKAGAGCTGAGAGCTTTGTTCCTGCGGCAGAATCTTGAGATACGTTTAACTGAAAAGTATARGAGGTACAGTGAGAATATGCAGTCACTTTTACTAATCGTAAACACCTCCCCAAGAAGATAAACATTTCGTCTCGTTATATAGAACGATAGATTKTTTAAAAGCATTCTGGGGCAGCCATTGCAAACTCTCTTGTCAAAGTGTGTGTTTGGAAACAAATTATCRCAAACATGGATAGGCTACTAGATAGACGATAATTTTCTCACTAAGTACACCACAGGACGCTATCTGACTAAGATAAGGTTGTTGTACTAATAGTGCTGTTTTGCGGCATTAAGACATAGAATCGTTTTTAATTTAAGGAAACAATCGCGTCGATTTATAAGACAAAGTTTGCCTACCTGTGCATTCGTCACGATGTGGAGTTTTGTGACGATCAATGTTATTTTCTTCTCGCCGATGCTGGGATCATTAAAGAGGCRYTTCATCTATTAAAATAAAGTTTCCATAAGGGATTATACAACATGGATGAAAGAAGGTTGGATGGACAGACATAAAAACAATGCATAACAGCGCTGGTCACAACTGATTGCGTCGTACGCGGGTACAAGACTTTCAAATATTTAATAAAGACAAAATAAACAACAAACTTACGHCATTTGCCATTAATAACAGATACGTCCCAGTAGCGCTCTCGCTGTTGCCATGTATGGCTTTCACTGCTTCATCTGCAATCATGCCGTATTCGATGATATATTCTTGAGGACTGTCTTCTCTTTTAATTCTTCTRTTGGCGGTGTTGAGAAGGTTAGGAACTTGCTTATGTGTTGCAAGTTTAGAAATTGTATCTAAAGAAACGAYTTACAGCAATGGTTGAAAGATTATTAAGTATTCAGTTTGAGCAGCAGTAGTTAGTAGTTACTAACTATGGTTGGAGCTTTGTTATACAKACTTAAGTCTTACCTTTGTTGTCCATCGACCGAAGTCCATCGAATTGGTATATCAGATGAGGATTGTCATTGCTAAATTTTTTTGCTAAGTGGTGTGGAAGCGGGTGCAAAAACATTGAAGTATCTTTGAGTTGAACAAGTCCTGACTGGAAAGAAATGTATTGAGATCAATAAAATGCGACTCGGGATATCTTCAGAGTTACAACCTGTATTTGACGTTTTGCATTGAAAAATATTTATAAGAAAGAAAATGCAGAAAGAAAAGGCGCTACCAGTGTGTATAATGATATAATTGATTTATATGTATTTCGATCTTCTTACCAAAGCCCCGTTACTGCTACTAATAGCGACATTAGATTCAGGATAGTTCTTCACTTGTCCAAAATAGTGAGTTATGGGTTCTAGTGGTGTTCTTTTGACTTTACCATCAACGTACGACTCCATCATAAGTCCAGGTACGGTCAAATCCTTATTCTCTCGTAGGTTCAAGTGAAGTGTTTTACCAAAGGCTTTCAGTCTGTAGTGGTGTTCATCAGAACTCACCGCTTCACGTTTAGTATGATGAGGGCCACATCTAAGAATATCGCCCTCCTGGACACACTTATCCGGATCAATGACGTCATATGCTGGTACTGGAACGAGAAGCAATTAAGAGACTTAAGATGAGTATAAACGTGAGTTTTTTTTAATTCTCATTTGATTACAGTATGTTATCTGCCTTAATTAGACTAATTAGGCACGGTTTTSTATAGTCAACTCCTTTGTGATATAAGCAAATTCGCGCTGTGATTGGCTACTTTCTCCCTTTTCATTTCAGAWTGAAAACGAGTGTATGCCAAAAATGATGGTGGAAACGCATCGATCCAAGAGATACTTTCGCCAATGGAAACCAATGGGCGTAAATWATGACTTAAACGTAATTCAGATGACTGACAAACCTTCACTATGGGTTGACGCTCCAAAAAATCTCCTCAGCTCTTGGTGAGTCATCAACTTATGAATATTCTGCAATGAAGTGATGAACAATGGAATGCAGTTGTTAAATAGATTGTGAAGAAGAGTTGTTGGATAGACTGTATTATATATTTGTGTAAGAGATTGTCCGTTTATTTTCTTTTTAAATATGTCAAAGATGCTGTCAGGTAGCTTTATAAATAGTCATTATATATAAATCGAGAAGTCTATAATTTTCAAAAACGACGCTGATAAGTTTGGTAATCATGCATTTCTATTCTAGGAATCGAATGGTGATAGGTTTATGAAACAATATATATTATCAGGTCTTACCTTATGGCTTGCACTTTTACATAACATACCTATAAAATAACACACCGGCAAAAATTATTGGGTTATTTTGATTTATTTTGCATTAGTTTTGCTTCCGTTTGTTTGTATTTTTTCCTCGTTTTATTGAAGTCGCTCCTATTTTTCGTTTGTGTTTGTTGGTTTAATAATGCAGGTAATTTAATATTTTTGGAAGTGCCCGAATCAAACACATTTTCGTCAAACAGATTACAGTTATCAACYGTTATTTGGCAATGGTTACAATTTATTATGACCTTTTGATTTGCAGATTGTAATCCAAAGACTCATTATGCAGATTAATAACATGTAATAACAATTAGTAGAAAAAAACATTTAGCTCGATATACTAGTCAAACAATCCGATTAGCAACATTATAAATACAAAAACAAATAATAAATAAATAAATAAAACGAGTAAATGAATGAATAAATACATGTAAGTATGTGCAATATATTTTTAAACGTTTAAATCAAGTGATTTATAGCTTAATAACCAAGCGATTTTTGCAGCTGTTCAAAATGGGGTTGCCAAGATACAGTGGCAGCCCTCAATGACGGGAAAACTTTAAATTTGCTCTATTAAATTTTTTTTRAATTTTTGAACATGAATTAAAGTGCTCAATTTATTGACTTAAATGCATACTGAATAAATGTGTATAATCAATCATTGAAAGGAAATTTTCTCTGAAAAAATATCAATATCAAAATTTACTGATCTTTTTCGCAGTGAAAGATTTGTGAAATGATTTATGCTGGCGGATCCAGGACGTTATTTCACTCAAGAAAAACATATATTGAATGGATAAATTAGGGCTGCCGGAAAATGAATCTTTCACTGAACAATTATTGAGTCGTTTTTTCAGAATGATTCCTTGTCATTATTTCTTTATTTATTTATTTCTGCCGCAATTTGACGTTCTATTCTGATTTTCGAACCATAAAAAGGGGGTTGGCTAGCCACCTTAATCATCCCCCCCCCCCTGGATCCGCCATTGTAATAGCTGGTATCAAAGCTCTGAATCTATTGTTTTCTTTTGTTTTTACCAACAAATACTAAATAGTTATTTTCATTATACYGTCAAATGAAAAAGGACCAGAATAACGATATGTAAAATCAGTCAACGTACCTTGAGTTAAGAGGACTGCTAACAGCATCACAATGCGATATATACACTGCCTTTTCATGTTTTATYCTGCGTCCAACAACAGAGTGAGCCTAAATAAGTTAAATATAGATACATGTTGCATCACTTCGGCAGACAGTAAGATAGTTGTCGGTAGAAAAGCGATAGGTAAAATAAATCATCCATCTACTACAAGATAATCAATCTTGTTCATTCATCTTAGTCTGTACCTGGAAGTCTCGCGTGCACTCGGCGTCGTTTGCTTTGGAAACTCCTGCTTACKYAGCWGAATTGTAAAGAYGGAGAAAATAGATGRCTTTCAAAAACCAAATATCGTACAATTAGTTTGGGTGAGATAATAAGATTAAAAGGCAATAACATGGCAATTAGATTGACACTTGGAGTTGCACTCCTAATGAAATCGCTATCCCATATTAAGGAGATATACCATCTATTTTATTGCGAAACAAAGTCTTTTTTTATCTATTTATATATTTATCTATCATTCATTTTTTTTAGTTTGTTGTTTGATTGCTGTGTATTTCTTCAAGATGACGAGCTAYGTCTTATTCGTCAAATTAAATGAAAATTTGACGCTGTTTAGCAACAATATATAGATGAGAGTAACATTTCTAACTGGAAGTGGCAGATCCAGTTCAGCAAAGAGCTCGAACCGATGTATCKTCAACATGGTAAAAATTACTAAAAAAGATGAAACTCAATTGAACAAATATATAGCAAAATTGAATGTAATGTGTATACTATATTATCCAATATTATTGATATCTAATTTGTATTGCAAGACAAGATCACAAGGAGAAGGAGAGCCTGTCCGCTGGCACCGGGTTAAGTGAAATGAGAGATTATTGGCAAAACMGACAYAATTTGGAGATTCAAAATGTTCAAAATGAATGTCATAACACTAAAAACGCCGACCAAATCTGTTTCTGCCAGTTTGAGATAAATGCTTGATAAAACCAGTTACTAAGGCAGGGATAAGGGGTTTTTGTTTGTTTTTGAAGTAGTCGGTGCTGTTTTAAATACTTCCCGTTTTAACTTGGATACATTAAAGGCCATTAACTTTATCAAGCAATCATAGTCCTGTCGATAATGATTACGATAAATTTGCTTTTTTTTCGATTGGTTTCACTATTCCATCAGGTAGTTGGTTTTTCTTTCGGCTGCTTTCGGGCTGATAATTGATCCGAATACTATCTACGGATTCCATAATTTATTGGTAGGCTTATAACGTCCATCGTGAAGTTTGGCGCAACACTATCTTTCTTGTCGCTACCGCTATCTTTTTTTCTGCTCTCATTGATTATATGTCGTAAAATTAAAAAGTAAAGACTCATGATATCATTCATGAAGTGTGCAAGTGACAATTCACGTGACATATGRACTAAAATGATCGGCAGTTTGTCCTCCTCGTGAACTTAGTTCAGTGTTTTAGCATACAAATTGAAAGCCCCCTTTACGSCAAATGTGTCATACGATGAAAGATCCGTTTCTGCTCTCTTTGAAAACAACACGAATTKAGACACATTCCAAAAAAGATATTTGATGACGCTTTTGTGCAGAGTCTCAATGGCTTTTTCTCTTTTCTTTCTTCTAATTAAAACCCATCCCAATTACAGGGTTAATATATCTACAATGTCTACACTTGATAGCTTAAACAGAATTCCAATTTCATWCATTCAACGTTAATCGCTAAACATTTAGATATTAAGATTAACTGAAAAAGAGCAGCAATTCAAAGAAAACGTTTACGATYTTCATCAGCCGTACCTTTGTTTGTTTACAAGAGCTTTGTCCTTGCAGTGTTACTGATCTCTGTGAGCACCTAGCTTGTATTGCGGTCCCCAAAGGTCCTAATTCAGCTTTTATAAACTTTTAGGCGCTAATTAAAACTGGCTTCTTTAATACTAGCTCTTTGATAACGTCATGGGTGAGAACATCTGGACCGCRGAGGCCATTTAGGAAATGACCACGGCGGAKGCGGCCTTCGGGTATGGCTAACGCGGTCTTTTAGTAAGATTACTTGACACAATCTTTACGTGATATAATCAAGGACATTTATCTTAAAATGATGTATCAACGAAGGAAGTTGAAACTAAAACAATAATAACAGAAACAAGAAGTGGTTTGAGTATTGAGTAATACAAATAAGATCACGATAGATTTTATTTATGAAAGTAACTGTGAGGTAAAAGTACAAGGTTATAGAGAATAAAACTTAGATATAAGATCGATGTAGTTTAATTTTGGCGCATTGTATTCTAACAGCAGGGGCATGGGAATAAAGGGAAAACAAAAGAGAAAATAACAAAAGTGTACTGATTGCTCTTATCGTACCCCACAAAGCTTGAGCTAGAAAAATGTTAATCGAGTGCTTTTGTGGGTACAATGATTCATTATGAAGTTATTTGACTTACTTGGGCGTTTTCTTAGCAAGCCGGCTATTTCAATCCATATATATCGATACAATCGATAATATAATATACRTCAGAACACCGATAGCTACATAGATATTATTTCAATTAATTATTATTGCCCCCAATTTCTTCAATACACGTGTTGTTTCTTGCAAGGAAGCCTTTYAATGCTATTTTTAGTCTAAAGTATTGCTGGCGTTAGTGAAAATTAATACTACGATGATGTACTTCACAACTACAAGTAAAAAGTCAGATACTTAATTAGATAGTTGTACCGTTTGATAACACCGGTGTTGGCACACAATAATGAACTAGTAAAATAGCGTTTGTTTTCCTTAAAAATGACTCAAAAGACCATGCAATGTTGTCCTTTACCAATCCAAAATACTAAATGGCACTACAAAAAAACAATTTCAATTGTTAACTTCGTTCTTTTCCTTCTTCGATATATACATATTGAAATGTTCCTTGTTTAGCGTGGCTAAACAATGCAAATGTTTGTCTTCCTCGTTTAAGTATAGAAAACATCCTCCTAGGTTTAGAGGGTGATGTTCTTCAATACTTCCTTCTGCTATTATGGAAGTATGTTATATACTTATCAAGGGCCAAACAAAAGTTACCAAATTTAAATGATTATATAATTACTGTAAAATTGTATGAAAAAATGGAGTATATCATAGCAAAAAAGAAATCTAGACTGGCCTCACACATGAAAAAGTATGAAAATATTCGAGATCTGCTATATAATTAGGGTACCATGGACAGAAACTTATCTGAGTTCACGTGTTTTAAGTCTATTTTCCAAGGTGATAATATGAGTATCTTTGTTTTCATTGTCTCGTGTTTTGTTTTGTTTTTTGTTTTGTTGCACTAAATATAACTAAATGTAACTAAATGTATTATGTATATTTATTATATTGGAATAAAAAATTACAAAAAAGAAAGAAAGAAAGAAATGTTCCTACCGTGACCCTCATCCTATTTTCCCAAACGAATAGGTAGAAAACCCAGCGGGATAGCATTAGATATCGCAGTGTACGTACCATTTGCTTGAGCAATCTGAGTTTCAACATCTTTGTTCTTTACTTCAGTAATTCCCATTCCTAGCTTATATGACTCATTCAATTTGCCCCACTAAAAAATACATTTGGAAATTGACTATCTATTGTTAAAGAATGAACATTCAATTAAAAATATAAACTAGTTACTATAATAGTATAATTGAGTAATTATTAATATTCGATGTATAGTATTAGCTTGCGTGCGATTATCATTGAKGATTTTCACACTTTTTACAATTCTCAATTATTCTTAGCCATTTTATTTTGATAGAATCTTTTGTTGACAAGGAAAATAATTTCTCTGGTCGTTTATAGTTATTAGTTTCAAATAATAGTTATTTTAATAGAAAGGCGGATATACTATCTTAATGATTGAGAAATGTAGACCTCACAACTATAGGAATATGTAGTTTTATTTTAATGATCTTTACGAACTCACTGCGTCATRTTTTACAGGCCACGCAGAGATTGTATTCGAAGTCACGCCCATTTTGGACCTTGGACCAGATAAGCACTTTATCCCACATGATGCTAATCATTTCGCACGGTCAAAGCTACACTCCTATATGGTAACAATGAAGGAAAAACATAATGATCGTTTATTTATAATAGGACAGCTCATGTGGCATTATTCCTAGTTTTATAGTGCTCCAGTAACTAAGAACTATCAATTGTTGGCAGCTCTATACTACTTCATGGGGTGTGGCAAGTTCAATGGAATCGGTCTGTGAGTCCACCCAACCTTTAAGTTCTTTGTTTCAGCTAGCCCAAGATGTATGGATTCAGGCTGACGCGCTTTTTAGTCAATTTTAGTAATACAAATAAAGTTGCTATCTGATAAATAAGACACTTGTTTGCTATCTTTTTCTCTCCGGACGTACTATTCTAGGAAAAGTAGGAACTTCAGTATACCTTAAAGAAATAAGATAACGGCTCTAAATATACCAAATAACAGCAATAAAAACGCTTAGTGTAACTTCCCCGCCCATACGATCCAGGAAATTGGTAGATGTGAWGAGATTAAGGTAATTAAAGCAAATAAGAATATGGTAAGATTTAAAAATACAGATCAAATCGATAATAATGATGGGTTAATTAGTAGATTGTTATTTCTTATTGGTAAACAAAGACGGTAAGAAAAACGAAAAGGGTTTTATTAGGAATTCTTATTACCTACATATAGACACGCACTCCGAGTGCGCAAAGCTTGTACTCAAGCACAGTCTAGACATCAGCTTGTGTAAAGCGAACTAGTCGAATAGTTTGAAATAAACTCCAAAAGTACTAGACGTGTCCAACTTTACGACTGTCCAGTACATATAAGTCTTTGTACAAAAAAAAAGCAGCTTGCACGGGTCGGTTTCGCCTAAAATAAGAGACGACACTTAGGAGTGTGATCTAAATGGTGGACGTGSAATAGAAATGAAAAAAGTTATAAAACAACATGTGTTCTTTATAGAACGAGGGTGTTTGTTTTATCGGGATACATGGCCGCAGGAGCYAATCTGAATGCGACAAAACATGCGGTGGTAGTCGAGTTCCTTAGACTTCTAGAACTCCAACGCCCAATAAGCGTAATCATATACAGAAAACCTGAAAAATAGATATTATTTTCTTATGCACTGTGGTTCAATTGCAAGCATTTTGATCCCACATGGAAGGGAGGCAAGTCTGTGCAAAATTACCAGTCAGGTTTAGTAAAGTGGCACAGATGAAAAAAAAATGGAAAGTTTGAATCAAATAATTACCTAGTGTGCTATGTACTACAAATTGTGCATCTTTCTTTGTTTTCAACTGTCTAATTAACACTTTTTAGCACTTTTGTTTTGACTACAAAGAGGGCGTAGAATGTGAATCAAGGACGTGGCTGAATGATTTTGAAAAATACGCCGTTAAGATTCTTTTTATTGTTTTTCTTTGTTTTCCAACTGAACTGRTACAACCAAAAATCATTTTTTCGCGTTAACAATTCATCTGTTCGTTCATCCATTACTTATCCATTCAAGTCTATCACGGGATACCTGTCTCGAGTCAGCGGTCTAGTGCGCATGTCTATTGAAACATCATATGATTTATTTTTTCAAACTAGCGAGGTTTTGCTTTCGTTCGAACTAAATTTCTCCATCATGGCAATGCAAGACGTTATTAACAAGATGAAAGGAACAGCTCTTGGTGTTGCAGAATACCTAACTCCAATTCTAAAGGTAATAATCACCAAAATGCACCAAGATCTGAYGTTCAAATGTCAGTCGAAGGCTGTCTCTGATCGCTATGTTATTTTTGTTTCCGGAAGTTCAATCCTGTTTTTTTATTTTTTATTTTTTTCAGGAATCTAAATTCAAAGAAACTGGAGTTATAACTCCAGAGGAGGTTAGTGGAACTTTATAAATGCAAGGAGTTAAGTTAAGTGTGTTTTCTTAACTCCATGATAGGTGTGTGACGTGGTATGTTATTTTTAGATGTCCCACATGAGGATCAGATGTGCGCCCGCTGACTAAACTGTCACGAAAAAATAGCTTTTTATAAGCTCAATTTGTGGTGATCATGCTCATAATTATGATTCGAATATGAGATTTTCTATCAAGAAAATTTTGCAGATTAAAAAATATAACTCATCCACAGGACAAACTATTATAATGACACGGTCTAGTACAYCTAAGAAGTCCCTTACATTAATTTGTGTGACTCCTGTTTCAGTTTGTGGCTGCWGGAGATCATATTGTCCACCACTGTCCCACATGGCAATGGTATGTCTTAAAATAATTCTTTATTAGTGACTAGTTTCACAGGATATCTTAAATCAKACACTGATTACTATTCTGCAGGTCTATGGGAGAAGAAAGTAGAGTTAAACCATATTTACCCAAAGACAAGCAGTATATCTACACACGAAATGGTGAGAACTAAGAGTTTCATTTAAAATTGGATACATGGCATTGAGATTTATTCWATAATTTTGTGTAAGTTTCACCATACAGGATAGATTATTTTCTAATATTCTTAATGTCATTTAGTCCCTTGTTATAAGCGTTGCAAGCAGATGGAGCATCAGGAAGAAAATGAAGCCATRGTTGAAGAGGATGAAGATGGTGGATGGGTCGATACTCACCATAAAGTCGACCCAAGTGGAAATAAATTGGGAGAAAGTGGAGCGCAAGAACAGTTTTCTGAGATGAAACTTGATACTGATAAGGTACTTTCCTTCTTTGTTCATCCAATTATTCATGCCTTTGTCCAGCTATTGACCTGTCTATTTATTACTTTTTAAGCTTGGTACTCCATGAACCACTATATAAAGACTTTTAGGCAATGAAAGGCTTCTCCTTATTTTACACCTTGCATAGATTCATATAATGGATTTGTATAAATTAGACCATTTGTAAAACAATTAGTCAATATAAAGGAAACCTATGTTGTGTCATGATACTATTATCACCGTAGGAAATACTTAGTATGCCTGTTCACCTTGTTACATCCTGGTTAGCTGTCTACATTACGCCTCTTCAAAACATCTCTGGCAAAATGATAGAATTTATAAGTGGGCCACTGTGTTGAAATGTGTGGTTTTGTTTTAGAGTCCGAAACCCATTGTACCTGTCAACGATGATGATGATGATGATGACGACGATGATGAAGAGGCAGAGGACATGGAAGCTTTTGAAGAAAGTGGTATGCTAGAAAATGACGAGGTACAGTGCACTGCTCGTCCAGAACTTATGACTAAAATTGTAAAAATATTGCTGTCAGACTAATAATTACAAATGGACTTTTTACATTACAAAATATATAACAATTTGTTTTCCTCTTTTCAGGCTARTCTTTCAGTTTCTGTTGCCACACCTGCTCAGCCAGAAAGTTCAGATGCRTCWMCTGATTTGGCCAGCGGAGAGGGCATTCTACAAACTAGAACATATGACATGTACATTACTTATGACAAGTACTATCAAACACCCAGACTTTGGTTGTATGGTTATAATGAGGTATTGTCAACTACTTGTTAATTTGGCTTAAGTTGGAAAATATATTTAGCGTCTTTTGTTCTTTTAGAATCGGAAACCCCTAACTGTTGAAGAAATGTACGAAGACATGAGCCAGGTAACAAATTATATACATTGTATGAGCTCTCACAAAAATCTCTGTTGTACTCAAAGGACTGTATTTATGCTATCTTACACAAGAAATAATTTCTGGTTGTTTAGACCAAAGGGACAAATAAGCTAATAATATGCACAGTCTGKACTAATTATTGGTATCACCAGACAYTGCAAAGGGACTGAAACACTATTGACTCTTGTGTATTGATTGCAGGACCATGCTAAAAAGACAGTGACAATTGAAGCACATCCCCATCTACCKATGACAATGGCYTCTGTACATCCATGTCGGTGAGTRTTTCASCCTGAAAACTTTATCAAATTACTAAATTTGTAGGTCACAAGTGATTATTGGGAATTTTCAGATACTGTAGCATTTTTTATTCATTAATAATATTACTTGTTTTGAATTTTAAAGGCATGCCGACGTCATGAAAAAGATTATTCAAACAGTAGCWGATGGAGGAGGAGAATTAGGAGTACATATGTATCCTTTTTTATTAGTGTTTTTTTGTTTTGTTTTGTTTCATTTATATTTTGATAATAGGCCTTGAGCAGACATGGTCTTATAATAATGAAAATTGACAGCCATTTTTAACTGATATTTTTTTACTGTAACATATCCAGCTTGTCCTGAGCTACTTTTSCAGTATTTTCCTTAACATGTTTCCAGGTATTTACTGATTTTTCTCAAGTTTGTCCAAGCTGTCATTCCAACAATTGAATATGACTATACCAGACATTTTACAATGTAATTAAAAACCAAGATGAATTATATTTAGTGATATGAAAGATCGTTCATAATTTTATAAAAAAATAAGAAAAATTAAAGTCGTAACAACCAAAGAGTTACTGAGTCATGACACATTGCCAAAACCACTCCATGGGAATTTTGTTGAAACACAACATCTAATGATTCGTAAAAGAGGCAAAGCTCCTTGTCTAGCTTGATASAGAAAAATATTATGTTTGCCTTCAAAATTGCGAGTCAAATGATGTTCTGCATTGACAATGGGAACAAGCATCTTTCCCAGAAAATTCTACATCACTGGATTTTGAAAACTGCTCTAATGCATACATATGCATGATCATCAACAAAATCACTCACTCTTAGTGATTTTTTCATGGCCTGCAAAGAGAAAAAAATACTGTGGTGTATCATGGATAAAACACTTGAGTTTGCTTTCTGCTAGTTTTTCTTGTTCAATAGAAAAATCACATTTCCATTAAAATTAATATGAATTTATTAAGAATTGTAAACAAATAATGTACTGTTCAAATGAAAGAAATAAATAATTGTCATTTGTTGGAGTCTTTTTGTCATTTCTAAATAAAATTACTTGAGGGGTTCAAAGCCAACCTTGTAGTCAAATAAATTAATGTTATTAATCAATGATTTTGTTTGATTTGCAACTTTTATGAAAACCACTTTCATACATTCTCTCTAACCATTAATGAAAAAAAAGATCATCAAATCAAGACATCAAATCAAGACATTTCAAAAGCAATCATTTTTTTACTTATTTTTGTACTTATTCATAAAATACATTGTAAAATCTAAAATCATGTTATAATATTGATTGATGACTATTCTAACCATCTCTTTACATCCTGGTTTCCATACTTGCATTAGCTGGTTGTTACTTATCATAAAACAGACCCATACYAATGACATGACTGATAAAATGGTTTTACAGTACATAAGATGATAAGCTGTCATATGAAACTTTTTCCATATTCAGTGTAATTGTACATTCTGTATGAGTAGGATGAGAATTGGTTGATATGATGTTGGAAACCAGGTTTAAGAGAAATTATAAGAGCAGTGAGAAGTTTGTAAGTTTTGTATTTACAAATGAAGTAACACTGTTCTGTTTTGGTGTTTTGCCCTTGTTCAAAGACTGATAGCTGGAACCAGAAGTGTTCTGGTTGAATGTAAACCATTGCTGACAAAGATATACTCAATCAGCCACAACAAACAAACTTAATCTGAATCAGAGTCAGAGTCTTTTTTCTTCTCTTTTTCTTTCTTTTTCTTCTTTTTCTTTTTCTTCTCTGCTTTAGCTTCCTCCTGGGTATCCAAGAAAAAAAAAGAAAATACTCAATATTTTATGTATAAATTGCTCCTTTTAGTTTTTTTTTTCTCTTTTAAGTCTGACTTACATCGCTGCTGCTTTTTTCCTTTTCTTTGGATTTCTTTTTCTCTTTCTTGGCCTTCTTCTTCTCTTTCTTGGATTGCTCGGCACCTTCCTCTGAGCTTTCTTCGTCTGAATGTTTACGCTWTGAGAAAAAGYTTTGAGTCAAAATGTCACTAGTTGAGCCCACATAAATACTGAATATGACAATGAGTGACTTGCTAAGCTTACAATTGCATTTATGTGATCTGTATTTTTTACTTGTTTACTTGTTTGTTTCTATTAATTTAGATACCTTTTTTAATTCAGGCTTTTCTTTTGCTTCAGCACTTGGGATGGGAGTTTTTGGTACTGAGCTGTAACYATTTATCAATGATTGATGATTACAATATTATTAACAAGAAGCATTATTGTAATACAATGAATTACATTAAAATCACCAATGTACCCACGTGCATTTTTTATGAAAGCAATTTTTGTGCAGTTAAGTGGATTTGATATTGTATTCACCTTAGATCAGGATGTTCTTTCTTCCAGTCCTCAGGAGTGTTTTCATTTGGTTTACCAAACTTATCCAATTTACCTGCTGTTATAAGCTTCTTCTTCTTTAAAGCCTGAAAATGACATAAAATGTACATGAAAGAAAAGTTGTTGAACCTGTTATCACACTGTAGTTAAAACAGTTTTACCTGAGGTCCAAGTCCCCACTTTCTAGGYTATGTATCTCTCTCCATTATAACACGTTTTATCTTAGCAACGACACCATGGTCAGCTGCAGCCATAACTGCTGTTGTCATCAGTGCAATYCCTAAAGCAAATATCCAAAAATCATTCAGCATTACAAAATATAGATTAAAGAGCATGTGTATACATCATGAGAAGATCAACTTGTTGCTACATGTAAGGACATTTAATTACCTAAAGCAATAGCTTCACCCTTGGTCGTCATTATCACAATTTGTTCATTCATTTCAATACCAGARTCATATCGCAACAGCCCAGGAATCATTAACTTGGCTCCATAACATATAGCATTCACCTACACACAAATTGAAATCAATAAAGCTTACAACATGAGATGCTGTGTTATATCYCATTTTATACTTACAGCGCTATCTTTCACAACCAATCTTTTATGAGATGTTAGCAAAGCTTCTAGAGGCTGAATACATCTTCGCAGGTACGACTCTAGATTCAAAAGAAATAGATATGATAAATACAAAAATGCCATTTGTTGGATTGGAAAGATTATGAGGTATAATCAGCTTCCTGATTACTAACCATCTTTGGAATTATCATACAACCATTGCGCATCCATAACATCATGCATAGAAACCATTTTATCCTGAAATACAAAAGTACAACAGTAAGCATTAAATAATAAAATGAAAAATGTACATGTGCAATACTCAACTGATGTGTGATTTACTTACATTTTCAGACTGGATACCAGACCTAACTCGTCGTAGRTCCTGCATATGAGCTCCGTTACCAAGGAGATAGCCAATATGAACACACAGTGTTCTGATATATGTACCAGCCTCACAGCTTACCCAYAAAACTCCTAAAAAATAACATATCATTGTACATACATGTACATTGTACACACCCAAAATTGTTGTCATTTACATGTAGATTTTTTTTCATCTACTTTTGTAAAGGAAATAAAAACATGAAAGAAAGTGTTCAAAAATATGTACCTAGATGACGTTTATCATCATATTCTAGCAGCTTGCTTTCATAAATGGTTCTAATTCTAAGTTGTCTCTTAACAGCAGAGATAAGAGGTGGTCTTTGGAACAAGGCACCAGTTAATGTCTCTAGTGTCTGACGAAAAAAAATAGCATATTAAATATAGCATTGGATTATCACTGTAAGAAGAACTAGTTGTACTTACTTTTGCCAGTTCATCTTTGCTTTCAATAGCATTATGCAGTCTGACTATGCAAACATACTCTTTTCCTGTTGAAATAAAACAATATATTGTAAAGTCTGGTTATAAAGCCATAAAACCAGTAAAACTAGCAATACTTTGCAAAGTGTGGCTGTCTAAACTGAACAAAACAAAAGCATGACTTTCCAAGCTACTAAACTGCAGATTTGAAACACAAGATGATTTTTACTAAGGAAATGCAAATTATGGAAAATCAATAACATTAATAGCATGATAGTAAACACTGAACCTGCTCCTTGCTGGGACTTCACCAGTCTTGTTGCTCTGTCGATGCAGACAATCAAACATCCCGTTACTTTAGGATCCAGTGTACCACTATGTCCTGTCTTCTCAACACGCAGAATTCTCTTTAACCATGCAACAACCTTAGATATTTGACAAGGAATGACAAATTATTAGCTTAGGTGATAATTAAAAGAAGAATGTGATATCTATTTACCTCGTGTGATGATGGATTTGCTGGCTTGTCTAAATTGATAAATCCACTTCTGTTAAACGATAAAAGACTCTGTTTAATCAAATTGCTCATCAAAATTTTATTCTTCTCTGAGTGAGCAGCACTCTTAATCCAGTGTCAATAGAAAAGTGAGATAATAAAAATTTATTATATAACTTAAAATAGTGATGTTATTCAGTGCACAATGTTACAGGAAAAAAAATAATTATGGAAATATATAATCTACTTACGAAACATAATCTTGWAGGTCTCTCTTCAATGGTGAGCAGCCATTAGGCAATGGTGTAAAATGCCCAGTTCGTATATTTAACTTATCATAATTCTGAATAAAYAGTTATATTACATTAGATTATAGTATGTGAGTGTGAGTATAGCTGGAGTTTCTGTACTGGGGCAGTTGTTTTGTAAACATACTATACAAACTTGATCACAACACTTAACCCTTGGATTCTCACATTGTATTGAACAACCTCCTACATGTACTAGACTTGCAAAGTTACAAAGATAGAAACCACACAGCAGCAGTTTTGCAAATATCAAATGGAATTATTAAAGTAGACTTCCTTTCGATATAATTAAGTTTAGGTGTTTAAAATTACCTTAAGAAGTAATGGCCATTTTGATGTGTCAAGAACTGGAGTAGACGAGGTTGGTTTTAGGTGATAATCGCCATTAGGAAGATCATCCTAAAAAGACCAAAAAAGCAAACTTACACAATCTTTCCTTAAATGTCTGCACAATCTACATTAATATAATCATATGGGAACATCTTCTGAKAATTTTTACAAATTTTAGAGCGAGATGTGAATGGCATCATACACTGACCTGAGAGACACCATCATTGCTCTCGCTCTTTCTTTTCTTTGATTTCTTTGGTGTTCCTACAGTCAACATCAAATGAGAACTGGTCAACACTGATGGCTGCTAAACTGTTACTGTTGCTAAACACTTGAATGGTTTCCCAAAAAAATTATAGAAGATGCATTTGTACTTTAAACAAAATATATTTCTTAATAACACAACAACTGCTATATGAGGTACAATCTTTANATCCACCGAAGGTTGTTATAATAGTTCTGAATTGAGAAGAGCAACAACCACGAGTTCAACAAAGTCTTATACAACTGTCCAGTAATTTTAACTTTTTTACCTGATTCACTCTCTCCAGACTGTATTTTATCTTTTTTATGTTTCTTACGGGCCTTCGCCTCTGCTAAAACAGTTCATAACATAAAATATAATCAATATATTGTACGCAAATCTGTATGTTCGCAGCAAAACACAAGACTACCTTCGTCCGCCATGTTGTCTCCACGTGCTACAACTGTGAGGAATCAACTGAGATTGCGCAGAGGTGGCCACCAAAGGGATCCCAAAAAGCATTTGAGTTATAAAAATAAATTGTCGCATTTCTATGTCTATCTTCATTTGTGCTATTTTAAAATGATTATTATTGTTATGTCCAATTATTCACCCGGCAGAACTCGGCATCTGTTATATTAGTCTTTTCATTAAAATACGGTGTTCCAGTSAAGTTCGGCTATTTAGATTAAGAAAAGTTATCTGTTTGTAACGGGATAGAACATTAGAAAAGTGATGGGGGGCCAGGGATTTTGAGCTGATGAATTGTCGAAGCCTGAAAGCTGAAAGTCACGTCGTTTCATGTATTCCCTCTGATTTTATGGTGCGTTATACGCCGAGGAAGTAAACGAATTATGCTAGTAATCCAAAAAAAAAAAAAACACTAAAAAAAAAAACACTAAAAACGAGCTACTCCTCAGTTAATTAGTGAAATCATTCAGAATTCTGTTAGCCTGACTGTTAGCACAGCATCAATTCACTAATTTAGACCTCTTAGGGTGTCGGTTTTTGAGTCGCTACTGGACATCAAATGTCGCCATAATTAAATGACTTCAGACATTCGGGCTCGTGTTGCCAACGGATACAATCAACATCATTGAAGACATCTGTTACATTTCTGAATTATTATATAAGTGGCAAACAACCTATACATTTGGCTTGAGTTAACAATAAATAGCTATTTAGTTTGCATTCATGAAGGACAAAAGCAGACCTAAAGAAAATGCCATGAGGGAAGACATTGGTTCTTTAACAAACTTGTTGTCTAAGGGCATCCATGACAGTATGCATGTCTGAGAAAAACACTGCCCGCATTGAAAAATAGAAAGTATAGCTTCATTTCGACGCTAAAAGCGCAACTCTACGAAATAAGTTGGCAAAATTCAAGTCGAAAAATGCTGAAATTTGTAAAGTTGTCCTTTCAGATTGGTCCTGTCGCGAAATATCACCACCCACGTGACTTGATAGAAGAGAACTATCTAGACAGTTACATTTTCGCAATTTAGATTCAATTATGGAAACTACTACGACTTACAGCTTTAGGTCATTATTGGGGAAAAAACGCTCACATACCGAGATTGTCTCCACATGACATGCGCTTCATTCGGCTTTTATAAACCATTTCTTAAAAGAGTTTGTCGGTCATTCTCTTTAAGACTAAACCAGACCAGTGTCATGAAAATGATAGGAATTTATTACTTCTTGTGAATTAACGGTGAGTTGAATTCTTTTCACTGATATATAAATGCTTTTTCATCTAGTCGGTTCTGTTTTAAACTATGAGCGACGCGAGAATCGACAACTCGACGAGGGAAATACAACGGCACATAGCATAGGAATTCCTCAGACTTTTGAGAGAAGGAAGAAGCGGTATTTTTATTATAGTGAAACTATTAGATATGTTAAACTAAACTAACTTCAACAAATAAGGTTCAGTCTTGCTTGAAGGCTAGTATTAAATCCATAGCGTTGCTGAGAAATGCTGCGGGCGCGTCTCTCTCAAAATTCATTTTAAAACGTTGTGTTTTAAACAACCGCAAAGCTTGCTGAATTTAAGTGCAATATGCTAAAAACGTTAATTGCTTTATCGAAGTATCAATTCTACTTGTTTTTGGATATTAAGAGCAAACCGGAAAAGATATTRCTCAATACAATATGTACCAAGTAAATCTAATGCTAATAATTTCAGTCAGTTAACTAAAGTTGCATAAAAAGAACGCCTTTGTTTAAAAAGCTTTTATATATCAATATTTCCATTGGTAACGTATTTCAACTAGGAATTTGTGTTTTTGAGAGTCTCCATCGATTCGGAACGTTTTAAGATTAAGTGCTTTTTGTTAACTGGCACCTAGACGCTTCTATTGTTAGGCATTTGGCATTTATCCTTGAGTTTGAAAGTCGTAATGATATTATTGAAATTTTAATTCAGAAATCGCTGACGTTAGTGAAGCTTAATTAATTATTAACGAAAAGAAAATTGAAAAAAAAATTCCTCCAATTTTTATTAATGCCTATAGGAGATTTGAACCGAACATTTCACAAAACCCTTGTACTCTTCGACACTGTGAACATTGAAAAATAAATCAGCATCGGAATAATATCATGCAGGGATTCAAAAATGGGAAAGAAAAAATTTAGAAGATAAGTCGAATAGATAAAKTAAAATACATGGAAATAGAATGAAAAAAGAAATATTGCTTAAGAGTCCAAAAGAATATATAAACCAGAGAAAGTAGGAAATGAAAAGAATGAAAAAAACTTGTGGAAATAAAATTGTCATTTTTTTCATGTTAAAGAATTGTGCTTCCTTTTAGGAATATATATATATAATTTGCAGTTACAGAAAGCAGTCCAAGACATAATATGACATCTCAAAAAACYCTAGAATATAAACAATTTTTTTSCATACAGCGTAAAACAAAAAGACGCGTACAACAATGAAAAACGCATATAGCTTGCCCGACAAAGGAGGATCTAAGAACTCTCAGAAGTCTTTACTAACAGAACAGTAGGAAGTACCTCGAACAACTGATACAGCAACATTCATAAAAAACACTTAGGGATACAGGACAGAAGTATATAAAAAGTGATTGTCTTTGCATGTTGGATTCCAATATGACAGACCGCATTTCCCAGGGCCTTCAATTCTTAGGCTGCATCAAGACTGGGAAGATTCGTTACTGTAAAACATCTCTTTCACATATGAAGCTTAGTCATTATTGCTATGACCTTAGAACATCACGGGAACATTTCGATTCCTTTAGAAAACAACTAGTGCATACATGATCCAAGAGCATCATTTTGGACTCTGTCGAGTCCTCCGACCTTTTTGGGCTGTTGGGGTGTGTGTCGACCGAAAACACACCCATTACTCCCAACCCCTCCTCATCCCTCTTCCCTCCTCCCTAATACCCCATACAATCCTACAGATCTGTACCAAAATGTCTAGAATAATCATTAATATATTAGCGTTCTGAAAGGAATGGAAGCTTTCCGTCATATTTGCGGTTACCTTCTTTATAAGTTTTCCAATATTGCTCATGATGCAGGCATTTGTCTCTTTAATGCTCCTCGATAATTGCCATTATCCTTGTTACAAGTTTATAACGCGCGCCGTTATTGGTTGGAATCAGGGCTGCATTTTCACGGTCTCCTTCACGATTGGGCATCTTGAAAGGTAACCGTGCAAATGTATGTTGAGCGTGCAATGATAGAAACCTGTGAATAATTGTCTGTAGGTGCGAAAGAAGGTTTCTATCATTGCACGCTCAACGTTCGTCTCGCTTATGTAAAGGTACYGCTACTTTTCAAGATGTCGCAGGAGACCTGTTTTTCTTGCTTAAAATATCAGATTTTCAAGGCTATTAAATAATTTCGASTCATGTTGAAGACAAAATATCTAAGTTTCCTCTCCAATTTTAATCAAATCCATGTTGATAATAAATGATAGGGAAAAATTAATAACAATATGGTGCATTGCAATTATTTCTTAATTAAAGAAAGATATACTTATAAAATCAAAATATCATTGATATCGTTTAATCCGTCAGATCTTTTTTTWWTTWWTRTTTTTTCTTCTTCCAACTCGCKCAGGCAATGTGGAAAAATCGGTCCGTAACATACCGCACGGCTAATAATGTATATTTCTTATACACCAGGGATCAGCTTTAAAAAAATACATGAAATTTCTCAATCATTGAAGGATCAGGAATCAATTGAAAATAAATTTGGGATCATGAAACTGTAGCCTTGTAATATCAGTGGTAATTAGAGAGTCGACAATTAAGTCCGAGTCTTTTAAATCAAATGCTAGGTCTCCTGCAAAATAAATGCAACTTTAATTTATGAATACTGTTTTTCTAACAATGTCTGACTACTAAAAATTCGGACTTTGCAGCTAAAGGAGAGCAAAAATGTCTAGTAATTTCTTTTTGGAGGGCAATGAAACTTGACGACCATCATGAATGAATTAGCTGTGTTTTTCTAGATAAAACTCCAAGGCTGAAAATTAGTGTCTCATAATKATTAAACTCAATCGTTCTGTGTTTTCTAGTTTATTTGTTTTTGTTTCTATTAAAGATTTACCCCAATGGATCTGAAATTATTGCCGGGATTCGATGCCAGTATCACGTGACCATTTCGCATTTATTATTGCATAAGGACCACGTGAATCCGTATCTCAGACAGCCAAAGGATAATGTTTACATGAACATTTCTACAATGACCACTTCTTTCTTTCCTTTCATTATGCACAGCTTTATTAATAATTCACATATGAATCAACACACTCCCAATCCTCCCCTCCCCCTCTCCTCCCCCTAACCCCTAACCCCTAACCCCTACCCCCTCCCTCAGCCCTCACACACACACACAAAGGCGCAAGATAGTCTTAATAGAAAAAAATTAAAATGAATGGAAGTTCAGTACTGAATTTAAAAGTAATATAAAAGTAATATAAGAAAAGAAACCAGATGGAAGACACGAGAAACAGAGAAATATCTATAGTTAATAATGTTTCTTGCACAATGTTTGTCAGCACTTATAATTGTCTTCAATAAACATGAAATATTCATTAATTTTTACACAAACATCCTCATGCGTTATTGCAAGATACATTGACTGAAAGGCGACAATGATATGGAAATAACTGATCCACTCTCTTCTGAATGTGTATGTCACCATTAACGATGACTTGTCACTTAATTCTTCAAAATATAGATTAAACAATGTGCTAAAAACCCKGTTTCGCATATATTTTAGCAAATAGAAGTAAGTTTGGGTATTTTTCTATAACGTAACAGGTGGCGATTAATTTAGCAGACATTTCAATCCAGTAATAAAGGTATCAAAAACACTATGATATATTGCTATTTCAAATAAGGTTTTGTGGCGCATAACTTTTGATGTAAGGTTCATAATAAAACCAAGAAAAAATTATTAACAAAGATCGAAATAACAGTGTTGACTGCTATCAATAATCAATACCCGTGATACCTTTCGGTCGTGCATTCGCAAAAAATCTTACGGTAGTTTTTTGAAAAAGCGTATATATTGAATTTGACGCAGTTTTTCGATTCTTCCTTGATTACTTAATAAGCCTAATTTGTAGCTTAAGTGTCAAATTTGTGAAATAAATACTAGTGTAAATTAAAGGGGATTACAGCAATACAATAGAGAACAATTAGATAGTGGAAAATTACATTATTCTATATAGTGAACATGAAAGACTCAAAAATGAATGACATTGAAATATCACGAAATGAGAAATTTCSTTGAGCTCATAATTTTCGGTTATATTTTTATTTAAACTTTGTTTGGTTTGCACTCGAAAATATTAATGAATTCAATTCAACAATAGGAATATATATTGTTACCATTAATTTGTCTCAGCGAGCTGTGCTGAGGTGTTAATTAATTTTATCCTGTGGGCTTTTTATTACGCTTCCTCACGGACAGTTAAGATACTAAAGCCAGTCCTTAGAACTTCACTAATTCGCGAACTTCAGCAAAAAAAAATAGGAATCAACAGAGCGAACACAAGTCAAAAAGAAAAAAACCCAAGTCGCATATAGAAGCCATAGTCGAAAACTATAGTGACGCAGTATTTCTAAGACATTTTTGGRAAAAATATACTAGGGACGCTCACCTCGTATTTATTTCAACAAGAYCTTCAAAGGACATAAATGAAATCAGGTAGGTTTAAAACATTAAACAAAAACCATAAAACAAATATACTAGTATTCAAAGCGTCGGGTAAATTTAATTAATCTTTATTCTGGCTTTGCGCCTTCTCTATTTTGGCTTTAAATTTGTTAGAAACGCGATTTYTATTAGAGAGGAAATTGTTTTCATAACACCAAYCTTCAAAAACGGCAGTAAATTTTAGCATTTAGGTATTAATGGAATAACTAGTGTATGTGTTTTCGTGCAAAATGAAGACGACGTTCAATGCAGTTTACGTTCGCGAATAATGTTTGGATTTCTAATTTTGTATTTTTTTATTTCTACTTGTTTTACTCTACAGGAAGAAAACACTCTATTTGTGAAACTGGGAAATTTTATTTTCTCCTGTATGGCAAGAAACCGGATTTGTACATTTTGTACATAACTTCTTGCTACTTCAAACTGATTATTTTTTAACGATAATATTTATTATTCTTTTTTTTTTTTGCCGCATTTCCTTTGAAAGCAACGATGATTATTTCATCTTCCTCTAAGAATAGGAATAATAATATRATCCTAAATATTCAAAACATGTGAAATTCAAGCTTAAAAACGTACTTGTAACATCGACAATAGTTGAAGTGATGGTGAGATTGACCGAACAAAAAACAGTAAGATAAGAGTCATTTGAATTTGAAAAGACTGAATATTCCCAGTTATTCATGTTTAAAACATTACATGAAAATAACAATTATAACTTATAATCACAGTCTTTTTTGCAGTCACATTCAGAAATATATGCGTCTAAGCAAAAACAACTTATTTTTTCATCGTTTAACCTGCGATATTGATTTTAAAAGCATATGATATGCGAACGTAAGAGAAAAGTACACAAACACATCTTAGCAAGGGTAAATATCACTATTAACATTAATGTTATGTTGTATTTAGGGTTTCAAAAAGATGCTTCGTGGCTTATTGATGGCATTGCTTCCGATTGCAATCAAACAGCTCTGTTGGACGCTTCTTTTTCTAAGTAGTCTTTCCCTATCGACTTCAACAAGGTATTATAATACTAGTATACTAACTGACTAATCCCCGAGGTTAGAAATGATGAAGTAAGGTGAAATAATCCTCGATAATACATGTATTTTACTCTTTTATAGCTACGTTTCGTCATGCCATTTAACATTTCAATTTTTGTCTAAAAATCTATTAGTTAAAAGATAAAGCGTCGATGTCAGCTATCTTTTCCTGTTGCCTTCTATGTGTGTGTGTGTTTTTTTTTTTTTTGGTTTGTTAGTTGTTGTCTTTTTTAGTTTTTTGTCTTTTTTTTAATCACATTCGTCCAAACTAAAAAAATACTCCACAATACTTTCTAGAACGTCAGTTTTTTAATCTTTCTGAATATTCATCTTGTTTCGTTTATTACGGAATAAAACATGAAAAAATGTTTKTAAAAAGGCGTGATTGCTTTTTCAAAACGTCCATATTTACTCGTATTTTATCATTTCACTTCCTTTCTAAAGCAATYTAAAACAGAATGTTTCCCGCAAGTCTAACTGTGAATTTCAACTACCAATTCAAAAGATATTCCCTGCTGCTATCATAGAAAACCGTGTCTGACTGTTTAGCTTTATTGGAAAGCATGTTGTCATAGAAACGAATCGCAAATTGTTAAAAATGATTATACTTTACTTTTCATTTCTTTATCTCGATCTACAACATCGAACTTTGAAGGATTTTGATCATTATGCTTAAATAAACAAGGCTTTTAACAGCAATCCATAAAAACATTTATCCCAATTTTATTTTGTACACATTGTTTTTAATTACATTTAAAAATCAATTCATATCTATACTAGGGATTTATACATTACGAGATGAACTTTGAATCTAGCAAGTGTATTAGGCATCTATTATACAAATGTTCTATAAGTTGTCAAATGTCGAAGAAGCTTTGAAAGAAATATTTCCCTTTTTAATAATTAGAATTTCGAAAACCGTCGCATTTTGGCTTAATGAATTATTATTATTTAACTGCCTACTTTTTTGCAAATTGTACACATGCCCTGAGAGGTACGCGTAAATGATCGCTTTTTAATAGTTTCAATCTGGCGACAAAAAGAAAGATCGGACGATCATGGAAATGGAATGATCGATATGATAAAAATCTCATCTTGACGTTTTTGTTGTGTAAATCGATTTTTTCGATAGTCTAAAACATTATAGCTATACAAAATATTGTTTATGCCTAATTCAAAAATATAGTCGGTATTTATTTGAAAAGGTAAAATCATCGAAGATTTCAATTATAAACATCATTTACATTCTTCATGGATAAGACCAGGAATATAAAGGTGGGCAGTGCTAGGGAACTGACACAATGTTACACATAATATAATATTCATGCCAACAAACTACATTTCCCATTCTCCCTTTCGGCCATAGCTATCATGATGTGACCAATGTCTGTACGTGAATCTGACAGCGTTTTTGCAATTAGTTGTATTGTGTTACTAATTGTACAGAAAGGGGAAGGAAATATATCAAAACTGAGGACACCACAAAAACATAATATTTTGAATTTTAAACACTTATTCAATTGTTTCACCAAAACAAAAAAAATACAAAAGGTATAATTAGCAAAACTCAGTACAAACCTGGCTGAAGAAAAATCTAGACGAAATATACACATGTTGCATAAGGAGAACGTTTTGTTTGTCGCAAGTATAATTTTTCAGTACATAATGTTTTTCAAAACTATAGCCACCATCCAAGACGAATGTTACCCCTGAATTTTTCACTTAGAAGCTTTGTAAAAACTASAAATTTCTGATGAAAATCTGTATTATAAAGAAGGAATGTTTGATTGTGAGGTGATTTATGAATCAGGCTAACTTCTTATTTAACAAAAAATACATTCCAGGACACGTCTTGTTTGGATTCTTTGTTCGGATTTCATACAAAATCTGAGAGTAAAAGTCCATAGTAATTATAGCTGATGTTCCCAATAAAGCTAGTCACTAAATCATACAAAAGCTTTCTAAGGAAAATAGGGAATAACTAACATGAGAAAGCTGTCACATGTAAAGTAAGGTATTTAATAATTCATTGTTATTTAATTTCAGTGTTTCGATCCTCATCAAAATCAATAGAACATGTACGCAAAAACTAATAACTAGGATGTGGAAAAATGATATTTTAATCAAAGGTTATCAAAGATATTATTGATATTATAAGAAGTTGATATATACAGAAAGGAGATTACCGTTAATTCTTTCAGCGTGGGCATCACTATGCTAGAGAAAAATATATTCATTTACGAATATGAAAATAATTAACCTCGCAAAGATCAAAYGATAAAACCCCGCGATCATTACCGAACCTATAAAATCAAATATCTTTTTATTATATTGATTTTTACTGAGTCGAAAACGCGTTTTCAAATATGATAATGTTATAATCAAGACCATTGCCTCCTCTTCAWACCTCGTAACCATGCTCCAGCCCGCGATATTGAGATATCGTGACCACATCCTTAGTTTTAATTGTTGTTTTTTGGTTTTACCATTGCATGGCATATTTTATTAACAGGCACATTTTTGAAGAATTTGAAATGACAGAAACTTGCAAAATCCTGTATTACTATAGCCTGTATTACTATGTACTTACTATAGTAGTATATAGACTATATAGTAACGAGGTATATTTTTTTCTGTTGATCCAGATCAAAAGGCTGAAAACGTGATTCCGATCCCAAAACGTCGTACATTTTGATCCCTGATCCCCTTACAGAATCGTTAAAAAAATCATTGATCCCGATCCCAGTTGAAAAACCTTTGATCCCAGGTTAAATCCATTTGATACGGATCCTAAGCCTAAACCATGATCCCATAACAGCCCAAAAACTAACGCTGATCTCTGATCCCTGTACCTCGTTACTAGGCTGTATATTATTCCAGATATTGCTTGGGAGGTTTTCGGTCATGAAACCATATGAAATCTTCACTTGAATCTTGAAAGGCTAGCTGTAAGTGGATCATATGGCTGATGTCAATTTACCTTGTCATTTCTRAGAATTCCAAATAATGCTACAAACGTGCTTAAGGATCTTTTGGACCCGCAATTTTACGACAGGAGGCTTAGACCAAATTTTGAAGGTATGAACTTTTGTTGTATTGTTCTGACTCGTCGTTGCTTGCTTGTTTGATTGCTGTTTGATTGATTTTGACAGGCAAACCCGTAGATGTTGCAATTACTGTATTCATTACATCAATAGGTGGACTGGACGAGAAGGAAATGGTAAAATTATTATTAATATCATTGTGCTATTTTCTTTTTTTTACTAATTAAAATACGCTTGTTTTTATTAATATTATTGTGCTATTTTCTTTTTTTTTTTTTTTTACTAATTTATAAAATACGCTTGTCTTTCTCGATTCGTTTCGTTTTGCTTGATTCTTATACTTTGAAAATATTATAGCCATACATGTTTCACAACAATTTCTACCCTATAAATCTAATATCGCTTGATTCTTTTGCATCATAGGAATTCAAGACTACTTTCTTTCTACGACAAACATGGAAAGACCAACGACTTTCATTCAAAGACGAATTTCCKACAAGCCAAAACATGACTGTCGGYGGAGATATCATGAAACAAATATGGAAACCAGATACATACATAAACAATGAGAAATCAAGCATAGCCCCAGAATCTCAATTCCTGTTGAAGATTTCTAACAATGGTGAAGTACTGTATAGTCAAAGGTAAGAAAAGCACGCCGGATTCACTAATATAATAATATAATTATAATTGCAGCCTGATTTTAGATATCACTTTTTTTTATTCTAGGATGAGCGTTGATGCATCTTGTATAATGGACCTGACAAATTATCCAATGGACAAGCAGACCTGCACTTTGTATTTTGAAAGTTGTAAGTATAAAATAAACTTTAGTTGAGAAAATTCACTAATTGAGTACGTAGTCTACATTAAAACTCACCGGCTCAATCAATCAAGAATCAACTGGTCAATCAATCAACTGATATCAGCATTTGGGAGGGGTTCAGGGAAGAAGGGAAGCTACCGCTAAGCAAGCTAGCAGGTTTTGAACTTGTAATCGTGTACAGACGACATGCCACGCGATATTCGTCTGGTTACAAGCATTGTTGTTCTAAAACTATATCTTGTCATACTACGATAATCAGAACAAAAACCGTCACCAAGCACAAAAATGTTTATTTGGGAAGGGGGGTACAACAATGTTTATTTGGGGAGGGGGGCACAACAATGTTTATTTGGGGAGGGGGGCACAACAATGTTTATTTTTTTGGGGGGGCAGGATGTATATTGTTCAGACTACTAAGTGTGAAGAATCGTTTTTCTATCTTCAGACAGTATGACTACAAAGGACTTGATCCTACACTGGGACAAGGTGCCGTACGTCGATTCTATAGCAATAACAAGTGATCTGTCATTGTCACAGTTTGCACTTGAGAAATACACAGCAGAACGAACTGTAGCTAACTATACTAGCGGTAAGTATATTTTTTTTATTTATTTATTTATTTATTTATTTTTTTATAAATTTACATGTACTTTGAATTTGCGGCTAGTCAATCTTCGGGGGATTGAATGAATGTTTAAAACATTATTTGATAGTTGAATATCAAAACAAACAAATGACGACGGCCATCGAAAGAGGTAGATGTGAAGCGTTGATGCAAGAACTATATCACTGTTTTCGGGGTTSCTGTGTAAGGAAATCTTTTCATTTCGTGTTTTTCATTTAATATTTTTGMTTTTAGGGAGCTTCTCATTTCTAAAACTGAACTTCCTACTTCGACGCAAAAAGTTTTACTACGTAATTCAAACCTACATTCCCACAATTCTTATCACAATTCTAAGCTGGGTATCTTTCTGGATTCCGAGAAGTTCGCCGCCTGCTCGGGTTGCTCTCGGAATAACGACAGTCCTCGCACTCACGACGCTAATCTTCGGAATTCAAACGTCGATGCCAAAAGTGAGTTATGTWAAGGCCATTGATTGGTTCTTGATGGTGTCATTTACATACGTCTTCGCGGCTCTCATTGAGTATCCGAGCTCAACGTTTATCAAGTTTCAAGCCAAAAAACTTGGAAAAGGAGGYAAAACTATATTACGACGAGTGAAAGGAGAACCAAATCATGTTACAAGTCAGGATTTACCGATGTCAAACTACGCTACTACCAACCAAGGCAGAGAGGTATGATGGGAGATTATAGTCACAATTATTTAAACATGATGTATGGCATGAAAACATGCATTATCTCTGGTAAAAAAAAACATGCACAGCACCACAGTAACAGCAATGGCAATAACAATAACGAATGCAATTAATATTGCATGATTAAAAGACTTAAAACTTTTGCAAGCACCGTAAAAACTTAAAATAGATTCTCGTTTACAAAGACGCGGGATGACATCAGCCACCACCTTGAATAATAAATACCTAACCTGAAGGAGCACTAGCTATACCAAAACTTATCTAAAGTTTAGTTTTTCAYTCGACGTTGCTATAATGTAAGCAATCACAAATTACTAAACACAAGATACCTCATGACACCTCATGGTCGAAAAATTATGAATATGGCGAGTTGAGTTAATAAAAAACATTAAAATATCACTTTCGAGGCACAAAAATCACCCAGAACTGGGTTCAGAAATATCTGCATTTTTAATAATCTCGATCACTTACTACATTTCTATTCTTTTTCCTCTTTCAACCTTTCTTGATAACTCAGTACATTTGTTTCTGGTCTATACGTCCGTTAAAAGTATTTGTATTTCTAATTCTCTTTCAACATTCTACTTTCTTAACTTGTCTAAAACAAAGTGAACTAATGTCACTAACAAACGTTTTAATCTGTTAGCTCGTTGACTCTGATGAGGAAGATCCTAAAGTAAGATYATAATATCATTTACGATTAAAACATTTTATCATATAATTATCTATGAAATACCTATATTTCTCCATTTCGTAAACTTGATATCTTCACTAGTGAAAATAACACATTCGAGGTTTCTCTATATAGTGAAAGTAAGAAAAAAGCTATTTTTACGACATAATTTGCTTTCGTATACAATTATATGATAAATAGAATATTACATGTTCACTTGGAGATATACGAATTTTATCTCCTCGTGTTGAAAATCTCTCACTCGTTCGCTACGCTCACTCGTGAGAGATCTTTTCAAAACTCGAAGATAAAATCCGTATCTCCGCGCGCCCATGTAATATCCTCTATTTATTGAACTAATCTTAATAATGTTGTTATCTTTGAAGCAAAATGAGGTGTTTATGTGGAAACGATTTCTCGAACTCATTCGCGCATAAGTTACAATCTATGTGAACCATTTGAACCAGAATTTGTCATGTTTTGTGCATTTATTCATGCAAACGTGGCTTTAAAAATCCATTCCTGCTCTTCTCCGTAACTCGAGTATCCAGTCATTAAACAATTATCCCTTCGCTAATTCATTAGTTTTTTCTGTCTGCAATTGTTCATTATTTCATTATTATGATTTTTTATATTTGGTTATTATAATTCATCAAAAGTAGAATTCTGGTTAAGTACTTCTGAATTCAATAATTTCATAAAGGATATCATACTGACCGCGACATGGGTGCATCAAGGGTGCATTGATTTCAATTCATCAGATATATGAATAGGCGATGTGAAGCGACGCTATTTTTTACAACGAAGTCAGATGTTGGTAGTTTTCAGTACTCCTCGAACTACTTATATCCCCTAAAAAATCTCGCTACTTTTATATTTTGTAGAAACGGTACATTTACATGCATACAAAATCATCTTAAAAGAACATAATA